AGGGAGGTTCGACTACTTTCACTGCCTAATTTTTCATTCCCCACCGCCGAAGTTTCATATTTGATACTCAATTAGGATAATACAATTATCACGTGAAAGCGGTTGACCTATCGTAGAAGGTTGCTATAAGTATTTTCCTAAGAAGGGGGCGATTAAACTTCGAGCCACTTATTATGTCCTACCGAATGAAAAACGAAACGCGTGGCGTCGTTCTATCAACGACGCCGCGCCAATAATTCACGAGTAAACAGACGCAGAGAGGAAGGAAAGAAAGGATGAACAGAAACGAGATCAACACATAATCAGCGAAATCTGCACGGAATAGTTAAAAAGGGAGACGAAGGAAAAACGACGAAATGAAAGGAAAGGGAATAAAAGTGAGTGTCTTGGAGTAGTGATATCTTCAAAAAAGACAATAGTACATAAGTTTAATTGTACGAGTATGAGTTTAGTTAAGAGTAAACTATTTCCCTGGCACAGCCAAGTTTAGAATTTGCGTTCGCGCACGCGGGCTGCGGTCCCCGTGGCGAACGGTAAAAGGGCAGACGACGATGGAAACAAAAAAGACGTAGATCGACTAAATGTTTATACATATATATTTTTGCATTTATTTCCATTAAAAGATTGATTATCCTTGTAAATAGCGCGGAATATGTCTCAGCGTTTCACACACTCCGGAGAGAAAAGGAAAAAAAAAGTAATTAAAACAAAAAAATAAATGGATCATATGAGGGTCTCACTTTACCTAAGCTATAATGAAATATTGTATAGGATTATTACGATAGGCCAGAAATTATATCTGCGAGAGAGAGCGCGAGAGGGAGAGAAAGGGACCGAGAGAAAGAGGACGCGAGAAAGAGGGAGCGACCGAGAGAACGAGAGAGAAAAGCAGAGTTATTCCAGTTATCGGACGAGACAACGTCTTTCCGTTTATCGAAAGCCTAAGTAGTCGACACACATATATTTTTGAAAAAAAAACAGAGAAGAAAGAAAAGACGGAACGAATGAAATGGATTGCGAGATAGACCGCGCACGTTTGGCCTACTAGTAATGAAAGGGGAGGGGGTGAAGATTTAAAAATCCTTCGATCGCACACGATCACGCCATCGGCGCGAATGTACTCGTGGTGTATCGGTCGACGTGTAGAAGTTTCGTTCGATGTTCGCGAAGAAGATCCGATACGCGCCAAATCTAATCCGGAATGAACTTTTTAACGAAATGTTTCAAACGGAGAAGCGAAAGACGGAAAGAAAACAGGCGGGAAACCTTCACGTTCCGATATTCTCTGTGCACGATCGTCGGAATCATCATTACGTTGAGGAACCGGGCGCACGTCGCCCTCATATAATTTGGCTCGCGTATCATACGGATATAAGAGGTTAAGGATTAATACGTAAAAGTAGGATTGCTCGAAAGACACGCGAGGGATTCGCCACTCGCATATCTATCCCTCACGCGGTCACTATAGTTCTACCGAGCGCCGACGACTGCGTAAAGATGGCGGCTGGAGATGCCGCTGCGAGTTGAGCCGTGAACAAACATGGCGTCCACTTGCGCGGGTCAGAATCGGTGAGTTTCACGTTTCGTACTATCTTATTTTATAACGATAGACGATCGCAAATGAGATAAAATGATATGAATAAAATTCTGTTCACCTGTACTGACTCGTCTCGCCGGAGACTATAACGGTCTACTATTCTTGCTGCCAAAATAGCGACCCTAATCCCCGCGCTTAGAAGGATTTCGCGGTGCATGAGCTTCCATGAGTTCACGAGAGTTCGTAGTCTAGCGAAAGGAAAAATAATTGAATGCTATGTACATTGAATGAGAACCTCTGTCGAGTGGGCGGGGCTTTAGGTAGCTGGGCAGCGAAAAACGGACTCGGTAGATCTATGCAGGATTTAACGAATGAAACGTAAATGAATAGGTATCTTCCGTATCTTCCGAACAATCTCACTTGTCGGGGACTTTCTTGAAGTCCGGCGTGCAAACGACGCATCGGTGATCGATCGCATCCTAAGCTATTTTCACTTCTTCGTTCTCCCATCGCGATCCACGATCGATCATTGATCCCACGGTTCGGGGCACCGTTCGAGGCGTTTTCCGTTGTATCCTTGGAACGTGGCGTGCGTTTAAAAGAAAAAGAGGACGAGGAGGAGTAGAAGGATGAAGAAAAGGAGGACGAGAAGGAGGATCGTGTGACTCGGCAACGCGGCAGTAAAATCGGAAATGGTGTCGTTCACGGGAAAGAAAACCGATAATTATATACCTTTTTCCGCACCGTTGTCATGTGTGTTTTAATGCTTGAGGAACCGTTTGAAAGTTTTACGAATAACGTTTTTCCGTAGCATGCGCTATTGTTATTTCATTGACCCCGGAGGAGAGGACAGGAACACTGATTTGTTAAACCGTAGATACTACGAAGCTTCAAAAAGTGAAGAAAATAAAAATGAAAATAAAAAAAGTGTATTGTTAACCGCTGCTGTTGTGTACGAAGCCGCACCGTTCGGCTTAGACTGATGATATAAGAGAAAAAAAAATTCACGTATGCTCAATTAGAGAACATGTTTGCGCATAATTAAGAATTCTATTTACATATACATGTTTTATATTTGTAATTAATAACGAACAAGGAAAAAAAATCATCTATACCTTAATATTACCTGATATTATTAGATTATGTAATCTCCAAAGTATTTGCTCATCAAAGTGCTAGGCATGTTAGACGGACCGATATTCGTCCAAAATGGTACCTTGGAGATGGACATACCATCTAACAGTACGATATTTCATATTTTACACAATAATTAATAATTCCGTTGATTATTCTAAGACATAGTCAATCCTAATTATACAATCATTAAAAGTACGAAGGATAAATTAAACGTTTTACAATGTATATACTGTACATATACACTTAGATAGACACGAAGAAAAAGAAATGAAATGCATAACGAATTATATCAAATTAAGAGGAGACGGACGAAAGAAAAAAACTGACAAAATAGAAACGAGCAGGATGTCGAGGAAGAGTGGAAAGAAAAAACGATCGAGAGCTTTCGTAAAATAGTTCGTAAAAATGTATTCGTATCACTTTTGATGTTTGTTTTTCACTTTGTATTCGACGTTTTTTTTCTA